ATCTGCTAAAACTGCGAATATTTCTCTCTTAAGGCTATCAAAATACGTTTATTCACGGTTTATTTAAATATACATCGGTTGCCAAGGAAATTTAAACACGCAATGATAAAAAATCAAATGGAGTCAAATAAAATCTTTCACATATCCCTGAATAAATTTTAACCGGAAAGGAAATTAGTTGATAGGAAGACGGTATGATTTCCTTTCATAATAATTGCTTATGCAGTACTTTCCAATTGTATCATTTCAGCAGAATATTAAAGGTGACCCTTGGGCTTCTGCTAAAAGTTGTTTCGAGCCGTTAACTTAATTTACAATTTTCAATGCAGTTATCCCAATAAATTACTAAAACATTAGAAAGAATTTTGCTTTTTGTATTATCATAGAACTTTTAACTCTGTTTACTTATAAAAGTTTCAATATCTTTGTAAAACAAAAACATTTGTTAGAATAATAAGAAAAAGATTTTACTTAGAATAAAAGTCCATCACCGTCTCGTTCATAATCACACGTGCCTAAAAAATTCGCTTTCACGTGTTGTCTTCAGTATTCTATCGGAAAGAATAGCACAAGTAGTTAATCCTTCTCTCGCAAACCGAGAAAACAGAACAAAAGGATATATAAGAATAGTGTGCAGAGTGTGTGGTAAATTTGCATTTTTCAATTAAAAGATTGACTTAAAATTGTCTGAATTTTCTTGCTTCTTATTCGCAGAAGAAAAAATACAACATTTTTGGATAGAGAAGTAAATAGTTATACCGAAGAAGAGAATATAATTTCTCTATGAAATTTTCAATATTTATATTTACGCACAGTAGCACGTTTCAACGTATAGCTGAAGGCGAGCATTAAGCTCAATTTAAAAACAATTAATTTTAATTTTTAGCAAATAGCACTGCTGAGGAAGTCTATATTATGTTTGCACAAGCGTCGCAAGAAAAGAAAAGTGACTTACAAACAAAATAACGCAAACGAATAGAAGTAAGGACCAGCTTAAGTCATATGACTCTGGCCCGTAAGGTGTTATAACCTTGTGAAGCAGCCAAACAAACAAAGAGCTCATAAGTAGAGCTTAAAATTGGCACTTGGAACTTTTCCAAGGCGATTAGGCCAAACTATTTCAATTTTGATGCTTACCTATCAGCAGAGCATAGAGGCATATATTAAGTCTCTCAGAAAAGAGAAAGAGAGTCGATAGGTAGCCGGTCGGTAATTGTTACGCCTTTACCAACTGAGTGAATGCTCAGTTGGTCCATGACCAAGTATGGTCAAACCACACTGAGGCTTGACGCTTGTCGCGACGCTTACCTACGCGGCCATACGGCAACCGCATGTTTACGGCTGTTGCAGAAGACTAAAATATTAAAGAGTAAATTGTAAAGAGTAAAATATAAAAAACGACTTTCCGAAGGAACCGTTGGTTTCAAACTACGTTTCTTGAAAATGTCTAAATTATTGGAATAAAGGAACTAAGAACAGTTTGCGTTTGCCAATAAACCTACTATAAATGAAAGTATTGTTATTATATTAACTTTTCCTTTTTTTTGTTGCAACAGCATGGCTACGTGAACGTTTTACATGGATTTAAAAAAATCGCAAGTACTCTCGCAAATTTTAACAATCTTAAAAAAAATGTTTCATATTGAATTAAATTTTTCATATTGAATTAAATTTTTGTTATGGGGAATTGAGTTACTTCACGTTGTTCCAATAAATAAAACATCTTAAGCGGATGAAAGAAAGGGTCAAAGACATTAACCATAAATTTTTTAGGGTGTTTAAGAAGTTGTGCTTGCTTAGTTATTCACTGTCTTTGAATATCCGAAGCAGCACGTTTTCCATAGTAAGTGTAACGCGGTGACGGTCAGCAAGAAAGTGGGAAAGAGAGGAACAGAGAATGGTCAAAGTCTAATGGACGTGTGCCCAATTGTTAAATGTTATATTTTCGTCGATTGAGCACTCAGTATAGCCACGGCCAAGTACAGTCTATAGCACTGAGCGAATACCTCTGAATAAATGTAGCGATTCTCATCCACTCGGCTACTCATGCAAGCTACTTGTTGACTCACAAGAACGGATCAAATCGTATCATTTATGTTCGACTAATTACTTGAACTGTGGCCCAATATCGTGCTTTTGCTTGCTTTTATTTATCCATGTTATTTTTTTGTCCTTTCCTAATTTCAGGACATTTTAAACAAGGTTTGAAGTAAAAGAAAAGCGTTGATCATTTTAATTACTGTACTTTTATGTCACCTCGTTAATCACAGGAAAGCTTAAACAATAAAAAAATGAGAGATGATATAAAGAAAATCATCTATAAAAAATTTAACAAGACTTCCTAAGAGAAAACATTTTTGTAACGCGTAAGTGTTTGTGCCTCTATTGAATGAGTTAAAATAGAGGAAAAGGCTGCAGTTTATTAGATAAACACTATTGAAACAATTATATGCACTTTACCACCGAATTGTGCCAATGATCTTCGTTTTAGGCAAAAATATATTAAACGTGATGTTCAGTTCTTAGATAATCGATAGTAAGCAATAGGAGGCGTGTAGCGCGTATATTCACATATAATGCAAAGTTTATACTTTCTGTTTAAAATTTTATTAATTTAGGAAATAGAAAGGTGGAGAATGAATCAACGATCGGATCGACGGACGTGACTATGATCCCTCTATGACAAGGAACGGGATCGCTGAAGGCTATTTTTGGATGTTGCAAACTGCTCGAACGCTTTAGTAACCTAATATCTTTTGCTGATGGCTATAGAAATGAATAAAAATCTTTCTATATAAAAGAAATATTTTTCTATTGCAGTTTTTTTTGTTGTTTTTTTAGCTTTTATTCATATTATTTTTCCATTTAATGCTTTAGTGCCGAAGACTCCCTCGGGGAGAATATATGACAGATTCACTGCTAACATTGAAATCATTCTTTTTTTTTTTCTTCATGACTTTCATTGGCAAAATGAGGTGAGCTGGTGTTGGTGAAAACTTGTATTTGCATTAAAGTGACCTAAAAAACAGAATGCATTTTCGTTCGCTTTTTCGTTTAACATTTTGTTTAGCATTTAGATCGCTTAGTTGGTTTGATTTATAAATTTTTCAACTGTGTCTGATCCACTTGACGAACATTGTGAACGAATTCTACGCTATATCGCTTATGGTAAAGTGTTAACCTAAATCAAATCAATCCGTCCTCATTCTGCTTTAAAATTAATTTTGCATTGTAAAACTGCGCCTTTTTCCCTAAACAAAAAAAAAAAAACCAAAACCTTACAATCGAAAGGGAGGATTTTAGATGTTAGGTCAAATTTTTGAGCTTGAAAAATTTTTCTTAATGTAAAAGGTAGTTAAGGGAGGTGGGGGAAAAGGCATGCAAATAGTGTTATACGCGAACGCTATTTGATAAAACCTACTGTATTGCTTGACTGACTTTTACAGCGAACAAATTACATACAAAATAATAGAAGAATTCTTTCTCTCCTTTTGCTTAAAACTGCAATTTTCAATATGCCAACAAAAACACAAATCTTGAGCTGTATGCCCTTTAAAAAGAAATCCTATCCTGGTGTGCTGTTTTTTTTTTTTTTTTTTTTTTACACACTTTCGCTGAGTTTAATGCTAAAAAGCAACAAAATTTCCCTTTTTCCAGATGCTTTGTGTTTCGCTCGTTTTGTGGTTTGTATGATGGCCCTGATGGTTGGCTAGGGTTTGCGTTGTGTATATTTTAACATTTGTGCTATACCCTGCTGCTGGGCGAATAAGTTTATATGACAACAACATCGCATACTCTAAGCGATATGTTATCGCCAACGTACGTAAGGGATTTCTTATATGTTATGCACAACATGTACAGTATGTATGTATGTATGTACGCATAGTTACAACATATATGTAGACTTGAGATGATATAAAAATACCACAAAGTATAAAAATCTCCGAAAAATACAATAAATTTTATGCATTACAAAATGTTATTCTTCTTCGAGTGCACATGTATTTATGCGTGCTTGTGTGCTTGTGTGCTTGTGTGCTTGTGTGCTTGTATAAGAGTGTAACTCCTTTTCTCTTTTTGTCATAAGTACGTGAATGCAAGTGTGAATTTTGCACTTACATGGTAAACTTTTTATTACATGGCTGTCTGTCGGCGTTAGAGTGACTGAGACGCTATGCGTTAGCACGACCTTCTTTTACATAAAGTTTGCCAGGAATAATCGCTTCAAATATCTCTTCTCATGCTTACGTACATACGTACATACGTACATACATATACAATGGAATAGTACACTTGTTTTCCCACCCTCACTTCAATATCTTTATAGATATGTTGTATATGCGTGTGCTTGTGCATTTATATAGATACGTACACATCATGAGTATACTTATTTACAATTGAAATATTTTTTTGCTTTTCGTTCAACTTTAATTTTTACTAACTAGTGAAGGAGGTATACTTGTTTCGTTTGTCCGCCTGTCTCGTCATCTATGCTGGAAAATGTCGGGGACGCAATTTGCTAATGAAAAGGTAAAACGCTTACCCCAATAGTTGCCAAAGTTGGCAGTCTACACATATTACGAAGAAGGGAAAGGACATTTACAAATTATTTTCCTAACCAATTGTAGGAGACTTACTTACAAAAACACTATTAGAGGACATATACGTCTTAAATTTCTTAAAAATATTTACTAAGAATAACAAGCAGAGGTTAGTTGATAATGCATTTAATGAACCAGTAGGCACGCCCTCTGTGTAACGAAAGAATTAAGCAATTTTCATTAATTATGATAAGTATTGAAGATTCACATCGACGCGAATATATAATAATTTTGTTCCTTGTTATATCTTTTGGGTAACAGCAGTAATTGTAATAATATTGACAATAATGACAATACAATACAACGACAAGTGTTCATGTCGTTATGAATGTGTGTCTGTGCGTCTATTTGTTTGTTGTGTGTATTTGTTTTTCTGTGAATGGGAAAGTGTATACATATATATATATATATATATATATATAAACATTATTCAACAGTTAAATATTATCGTTACATTACATTTCTTTCTCTATTATTTTTCCAAGTTTGATTATTTTCCTTTAAGGTTAGTTCGGTGTAGATATTGCGTAGATTTGTGAGCCGTAGAAAAATGTACATAATGCCACAACTAAACTCGTACCGACGTTAACTGTACGTTGGCTACCGAGTTTCGTAACTGCTTCATTGGTGATAACCCAAGGAGATCGCGGTGACGGCACTACCGGTGGAGTTTTATGCGTCTTCTCGTAGCTATTTCTTGCTGGCAACTGCGTATGAACTAAAGTATAAAAGAAATTCGGATAAAAAGGAATAAAACTCTTTCCGCAATATCATTTCGAATGCATATTTATAAAAATAACATTAAGTACATACGCATACAATTCATATGTATTCAACTGGAACTAGGTTACGTTTCAAAGGGTATAAGTGAAAGAAACCAAATATAATTTTAATAGCTTTTAAAATTCATCGCCATGACAACTTGATGGCAAAGAAAAGATGTTTTAAGGACTACTACACAGAGCGCCCTAGCTGCCTGTGGTTCCGCATGAATTACCAGGTGAATGCATACAGACAGCAAGTGCCGTCAAGAATCAAAATCCATTTAACTCTGTAAGAACGAGCTACACAGAAGACAGCTATGAGGTCGTCTTCTTAGAATACAATTGGGAAAGACTATATCCTTCCTAAACCATTTCATAGTAGTACACAACATTAACGTTCCATATGTAGCTCGAATATGTTTTATTATTAAAACTAATTGCTGTTCAAAACGCGGACCACTTTATTGTCTGGTAAGCGTGATAGTTGCAGTTTTTTATCGTTACGACAGCTCCGCTATTTCATGTAGAAAACCTTACAGATTTGCATAAGTATCGTGAATCTTAGTTGAAAGAGCAAGGGCGAATGTGTCGTCAGCCATAAGCCTGCAATGCCAATTTCCCTTCTTATGTAAGTTATAACTATTTACTCGATTTTCCGCCGAGGATTTTTTTTTGCGAGGATAAGAGTGGCAGCGCCGAGCTCATATGGTCGGGGTGCTATGTAAAATGAACATTGAGCATTGTGCTTATATTAAATAAAGTGTAACCAGCTATAGTTTGTCGAAAATTAGATATATGCCCATGAAATTTATTTAAATTGGGTATATTGGTTAGGACTAAAATATTCTGCAAGCAGTAGAAGTTGTTAAAGAAAGACAAGTTAAAATTATAGGTAAGATGTGATATTGAGAACAATGGGATATTATGTATATTTTCGAGTACGTCCGTTTGACCACAACTCTCACAAAAACTGGCGGCTTTGGAATCGAACGTATGAGTATCCGCAGAAAAGTCTGTTGGGAAGTTTGATCTCCACAGGCTTTATACGATACGATAACAGAAAAAACCAGGATCTTCTTAGCCGTTTAATCAACTGTCTCAGTTAAAAAGGAACCAAAGTAGTTGGGAGCCGAGACTTAACAAGCGTCGTAAAAAAGTTAATCGTTCGCTGGTCAATAGTTGCTAGTGCCAACATTCAGAAAATTAGAAAAGCGTCCAAGCAGAACACAAACGTTCCGGTTGCTATGGAAAACAAGGTGGTACTGTGCCTTACCTTCTTCCCATCAATGATGACAAACGGAAGTTTAAATATATAAAAACGATTCAAATTACTATTAAAAACAGGACAGACAGTATCGGCAGGGCGGAAGTGCGAAAATCGTGCTTGGATGAATGCATTAACGAGGAGTATTGTGCGAACGGTCATGAATTGTGATGCCAGATTTTTTTTCCATAAAAACTAGATTGTAAAACCACATAGGCTTGGGCGAACATTTACCTTACATTTACATTAAATTTACCTTCCACTCTACACTCTAGCCTTTATGTGCAAAAAAGGGGAGTTACAAGCGATCAAATTATCTGTTTTTTACTTCTTTGAGGTTTTATGCTTATTAATCATAAGGCAAACGAGGCTGAATGTTTAAAATTATTTTGTGCTCTCCTCGGCTGAAGACATATTATCTGCCCAAAAATGGGTCAAACCTAAAGTGAATATGGTAGACACCGCGATCTAGTAGATTAACTTTTCCTTAATAATACGAGCGATATGGGTATGAAATAAAAGCATTTGGAGAATAGAATGCGAAGAGCATCGTAGGGGGTGTATGAGATTCGGCGCCCGCCGAAAATAACTTTCTTACTCGTTTTGATTAACACGAAATTTATGGCAATCGGTCAGAAATTGGTGGATGAGTTATATATATAATAATGTAACTTTCTTGACAGCCCATACAATTTCGATTAGTCTCCAAAAATAGGTGAAACTTCCTCACTTCCGCAATTAACTAAAATAATGCCATTTCACAAGTTTTGATAAGGTGCGTTTTACTACAAAGGAAAGCTGCGGGCAGACGAAATAATTACACAACTACGCAGGTCCTGCATTATATTGCATCGGCAACCCTTTTTTCTTTGTTAAATCAATTCTCATTTTTTCGAATTTAGAAAATATAATATTGTAATACTTTAGGACATTTCTTATTTGTAAGGTGCGTCTCCAACGAAGTAAACCAGAATTGCTTCGTCATTAAGCATAAAAATTTCCGGGAAACATTCGAAATTATTTCCGAACGCATTTGATGGCGATAAGATTTTGAGAATGGTCTTCGTTTTCAATGTCTTGCTTATGATGTTGTCTTTTCGTTAAAGTGTCTGTAAATTTTTGGCTAACACTTGCATTCTGAGCAACATCCTAGTGGTGTCAGAAGTCACAAGGCGCTCCCAAACAATATGTTTTTCGACTTTCATAACTCTTTTATAATAAAATTGATATTGAAGGGTTGTATCCCTGCCTTGAATTATCAAAGTTGATACGAACTTACAAAGATTGTGACAATGAAAAAACATTCTCTTATGATTATAAAACGGTCACAATGCCAGAATAAGCCTCAAGATAGTATTTTCTACGGCTTGCTGATAGTTAGTTTGTCAGTGCTTTAATTTGGTATAAAAAAATGCATGATACCTTGAGCTTATTTTTACAGACAGAAACCTAGGCTGGCCCGTAAACCTAGTAAAGACCAAAAGTTTACCATGGCATTAGCAATTTTAATACGAGAATACCCAAGCAAGTCGTATCTTGTAAAGCAAGATGCTAGGAGCAAGATGCTCTCATTGAACGCCGTTTCGTTAAACTGACACAAGAAATGAAACCGTCTTGAACGAGCGAGACGCTTGACTTATTTTCATTTTATTGTGTTTGTTGGCTTTTTATCACAGTTATACTGCGGTTGTATATTTGTAATCCGGCCTGTCTTAATGCGTTATTCGTACAAAACAACATTTTCAGTTGTTTTAAGTTATTGAGTTGATGCTTTTATGGGCTTCTAAAGGGAATTGTGCTGTATTCCTTTTGTAAAATTATATATAAGCGAATGTATATATAGTAAACGCTTGACTTGTTTAATTTGTACTCTCTGCACTTGAAGCACTTTTTCAATTGTAACTTACCTTCCGCTCCGTTAATCAAACCATTTGCCGCATTGATGTTATTTGGTCCCGAGACGCCAACGCCAACTCCGTTTGTGCTACTTTCTCTATTGCTACTATAAACATTACTACCACTGGCACTACTGCTACTGCGGCCACTGTTGCTATTACTATTTCCACTGTTGCTGCTGCTTACGATGCCATTAGAAATTTCATTTTCCTTTAATGTGTTGCTGCTGAAATGTGTCCCCTTAGCTCGCACAACCTCATTGAGATCTTTATTCATATTTAATGGAGGTTTGCGGCGTGGTGTTGCTGTGGTGTGTACGTATGGCGTCGGTGTAGTCGTCGGTTTTGGCGGCAAACGTAGCTCTGCAACAAATTGAACCAATTACTACAATTTAATGGATTCGATTAGAAAATTTCATATTTTCCACTACATGTTACAAAGACCGTAAACATAATCACAAATGTGCATGCATGTGTATCTGTGCTTGTATGCCAACATATGGTATGTGGGTAAATCTGGATTCTAACTTGCAGTCGCACTCGCACACAACAGCCATCAACACTAGCCATAATGTTATCAACATCATTATTTTTGGTGCTAAAGCAGCTATTTGCAAGTGATGGAAGGGTGAAGTGCTACGGCGCTGCCCAATAAATCAATGCTGCTCGATTGCAGTTCATTTGAAATGTCAACAAATACGATGATTGAACGAATTTTTCCAATTTATTTTTTGGTAAAAATCTGGTCTGAGTTTGAATGCAAGAGAAATGCTTTCTTTTTAAAACATTTTCAAAATTGTCAAATGAAATATGATTAGTGAGTGCGCAACCAGAAATTTCGTTGTCGTCGTGCCGTTCTTATTAAAATAAAACAAATAATTTTTCTTCTTAAAGTCTTATCAAATTATGCGGAAAATTTAAGGATTTGCGTCTGCTTGATTAACTTTTCCTCGCCAATGGATTTGCAAAAGTTAAGCCAATAAGCTTTAAAAGCTACCCGACATGAGATTAAATGCGAAAAGCCCAAAAATAATCTCGCAGGGTTTAATGTATTTTGAACTTGTTAACTGAAAATTAACTGAAATAGTTTTAAATGATGCTTTAACGAATTGCTAGGAATCAATAAAAACAAATATTAATTGAATCCAATATGAATTGACCGTGATTTAAAGATGTGAAGGAGGAACCTTTCGGAGGTTGCATTCAAACAAATGTAAAATTTTTTTCTCGTTAGAATTGAATGTAATGCTTAACTCTGAACATAGGTCCACCAATTGTAATATGATTGGAACATTTTCGCCCTGAACATTTTTAGCAAAATGTTTCTGTTTTGAAATTAAATCCTAACCTGAAGCTTTAATGTTTTTCTCTCATTTCCTTCTTTCACTTACGTATGAACTTTAATTTTTGCAATTTCAAGAAAACATTTTTGAGCTTGTATTCGTTTATTGTCCCAACCGAGTATTTCAACCATTCATTCTTACATTTATTGTTTGCGTGACAGACGGTCTTTGGCAAAACGAAAGAGAAAACGAAGACGTCACATTTTTTTAGTGATTACTGCGATTGCCGAGCTTATTGTCCTTTAGTTGGAAAGTAGTTTTCGTGCCGCTCTACACGACTTGGCATATTGTGACTGACTGATTGCTTGTGTGTCCCTGCATCTCGCACAACTCATACGTAAAATCTTACTACATCTGCTCGGTAACGATAAAACGCCTTTATTGAATGCTTACGATTCCCAATAAATGTAGTCAATGAATAACAAAGGCAGAAAGCGATGAAAAAAAAATTGGGAAAATAATAATAATTCAAGCTGAATACAGAGAGCAAAACGCAAATATATACACATATGTATAGAGTGCGCTGCGCTGACTTTACAAAATGCTACTTGATTTATAGTGTCTGATCACTGGCAAATACACGGCACACACACATATACACCTATGTATAACCATTTTCTTTTTCTCTTCCTTTTTGCCTTTGAAAATTCCAACTAAATGCGCTTACTTGTATCTAAAGTTTAGTGTCGTGCTTTATTGAGGTTCAATATTTATTTAAGCGAGTCTTAGATATTGCAATATATTTATAAGTGTGTGTGTTTGTACGAAAAATATACTTTCATATATGCACATTTGCTATACGTACCTTGCAAACGAATGCGGGCCTCACTTTTGCCTAAAGCGTTTACGCTGGAGCAGCTGTAAGCGCCAAAATCAGACTTCATGATATGACGTATCGTCAGATTAAGATGCCAAGTGTACATGTTAATCATGCCCTCCGATATGTTGTACTTGTTGCTGTTGTGCAGTTTTAGGTTTCCTGCTCACGTTGTCATTGTCGTCGTACAATTTTGTTGCAATATTTGTTTTTTTTTTTTTTTTTTTTTGTTTATATAAATTTTAATTTAGTTTTATGTTTGAATGTCATGAAAATAATGGCGGCAAAATGGGATAGTAAAACATATAGAAACACAGAGATATACATAGATAGTTTTGCACGCTAAATATAGATATGAACGTAAATTTATAAACAAACGCAAAAAAAAGAAAAATTTGCCATTTGCCATAAAATCTTTTCTTCGCAAAAATTCTTCAAGAAGCGAAAATTTTTAATATAAAATATGTCAATGTTTTGTCGCTATATCTTTGCGTCTTTTCGTCTGTCTGCCTTTCTGTATATCTGTCTGACTCTCTTTTCGTTGTGCACATGTTCTTTATACTGTTTATCTGTCTGTTTGCTTGAATTGAAGCTTTACGTACGTACACAACACATAGATGACTTACCCTCGTTGCGATACCAGCCATTTAATGGTTTTGGATAAACCTCCACAATGCATTCTAACGTTACCTCTCGCTCGACTGGGGCTGCCACCAACTGATTTACGGCTTTGATGGATGGCGGAACTGTGCAACATTTTTAATAGCAGCAACAGCAACAGCATATACAACCAACACATTGGAGTAAATATAAAGCAGACAAGCACAGATGTATCAGCAGGCATCATCATCATCGTCGTCATCATCGTAAACAAAGCAAACAAACAACAAAAAATAGAAAGAAGAAAATAAATAAAAACAAATAATATTTGTGTGTAAAGGAGTTTTCAAGTTAAATTCTCATAGACGTTGTGTAAGCTATATTCGTAGCAATAGTTCGGGCGCAGCAGCAACGACTGTGGCAGGAGGTGTAACAAATTGTGGGATTAAGTGCATTGTAAAATGCTTCTGTTATTTCCTTCTGATCTGCTTTGTTATGCTTTAATTTTTTAATATTCTACTTCAGTCTCCGTCTGTTTTTGTCTTCCCTTTGCTGCCGCCGCCGCAGATGATTCGCTTTGTATTGTTTATTTAAGGAATTTAAATCTTAATTTAATGTTAATGCTAACTTGTCACATTCAACGTTACCATAACTGCCACTATGACTACTACTACTACGCTGCTGCTAATACAGTCACTGTTTGTATGGCTACTGCAAGAATATGTTTATTTTTTGTCAACAATATGAGTCAGTTGATGACGATAATGGTGTTAGCGATTTGGGAATACAGGATATATACTAAAAGATATCGTATTACTCCATTTAATGGGTCATTGCTTAAAAATCTTTAAAACATATAATCACATTCATACCATACATATACACATTAAAAGGAAAGGGGAAAAACATTTCTAATGAATTAACTTGATCTTGCTGCGCTTTTTATATGTTTACGTTTATGTTCATATATGGCTTTTATTACTTAATTAAATTTAAATTCATTAAAAAACTTATTAAGAACTGGAACTTTTTTGTTCATCACATAGCAGATGTCGCAGTTCAAAACGCGAAAAATCAAAGTGACAAGAATGCATATATATACAAACTCTCACATGGAAATTTACCCTCGTATGTTATACAAGATGCTTAACATAAATGCCACGTTCTAAGGACTGCAAAGCCTTAGGAACTATGTTAAAATCTACAATTTTGCGAAAATTTTGTCATCTAGCAAAAGGTTACAGTGCGAAAAACAATCTAAGGTATTATGTGAGAGTGTTTAAGGTTATAATTCCTCTTAAAGTTATAAGCAAGACGACGCTGCATACAGGATTTTTTTTCTTTTAATATGACCGATCAGAGGATGTTCCGTGTAGGTGCAACAATGGCGATTATAAAGAAATGGGGAGAAAGGATGAGCTGGAGGATTGGTCGGCGTCTAGTAAGTGCAGATGCTTGAAAGGTAAGTGCTATGCTTTCACTGTCTGATAACCATACGTAGTTACGATGAAAGTAATCTCTACCGCACTCAGATTCGAACCTGCAAAGAGTCCGTTATTACTGCTGATAATCTAACAATAATCGTTTAATAAAAGCCACAAGACAAGAAGCATTAATATAGGTTGACATAAAGCAATAACCGTAATTAATTATCAACAATGGATCCAGTAAATGCGAATCGAAATTTGCCATCTTACAAGCGAGCCGCCTTGTTGCCGACAAAAGGTGCAAAGCTTAAAGGCGACCACAAATGTGGTTCTGTGATATATGTAGCCATTTGAACAGTTACTATCACCAAAATCTTAGCAAATTCATAAAAACAACCATCTCATAAAATAATAGGTCATGAGAGTAGGAACTATACACTTTTTGCATCTTTTTGCCGTTCACCTTAAAGGAAATGCTTGGTTATCTATTCGGCCGCTTGTTGCATCAAGAGTTTTTTGAGTATAACAGAATGATCAACTCAAGTTCGTGTTCGCCTCTAGGGCTATGTGTGAACTCGGATAATGTGACACCTGTCGGACATATACAGAACTACTAAGGGTTGTAAATGCAGGAAGAATCGATTTACAAGTTTGAATTTCTGAAAAAAGCGCTACGGCAAATAGCTTCAGTTTCCAGAGCTCTTCTGGCTTCTTTTTTTCGTTGCACATCGAGCAATTTAAAAAAAGTTAATAATAATTTTGAAGTCATTTTGTATTCGTCGCTTTTGTAGCTCACTAAAAGTAGCTACAAGTTTTCATGGTGATTTTTTTGCTCTTTATTAAAATTTTCTGTTTAGTTTATCATGCCAAAACCAATAGCCACAAAAAGAACTCGCAGCATAAAGATAACAGGCGTATCGATTATGTATTGTAAATTGTAGTGAATTCAGAGACATCATCAGTTATAAAACATTTAGAAGAATTTAACATAAGACCCGTCTTTTATTGCGCCGATCGATGCACATAGTGAAGCGATCTGAGCTCGCCTGTTTATCTATCCCTCTAATGTCTGTTCACGTATTTTGGCATCCAACGTATAAATCGCAGTTTATGAGCTTTTTTAAATGAAACTTGGTATACTGACGTGTTGTGGCCATAGGGCGGACGCTGGTGAAAATGGTGCGGATGAAGCCACCTTTTCCATCTCGCGTCATATAATGCCTTATTTTGAAAAGTTTTTGTACGGGAAGGAGTACTAATTTTTAAAACTTCTCGAGAAAACTCGCTGAGTAATATTTCGATACTTTCACATTCTAAATTTGGGTCGACTGTGGCAATTTTTGAACCCGTTCATACATTTCCGTTCCTATGAAGCTAAAAAGCTCTTATTCTCAATATTTCACGGCCAAAATAGGTTCAGTTTACAAAGAAATTAACTTTAACGCACTTAGACTACGTACGTATATTTTTTGGATACCAAGGCATATAAAGTCTCTCAAAAAATTTAAACCCTTATATGCCAAAAAAGTCTAATTGTGAATGTTTTATTAGAAATTTGTAAAAATATTGGCCAGCGGCTTCTCCAGGTAAAAATTATAAATAAATGGGAAATACGAGGGTACATAGCAATTAAAGCCGATGATTATGGCTTTTCTCTACATGAAATAAAAGTTTTCCGTTTTATATTATTGATTTAGTCAGCGCACGACGACGCTAATTATGGAGCGCTCAAAATTCTTCTTCTTCCAAATTTATTATCTTATTTTTTATTTGAAAAAATCTGCTGCCGAAGTCCCTAAAAAACGTTCATAGGTTTATGGTGATGCTGCTCCATCATAGGGCAATCGTCGGTTTTGGGTTCGACTGTTTAAAAATGGCGACTCGAATTGACTAAAAAGGCGTTTTTTTGACTACTTGTTGCAAGAGTTGTCCAGTATACATTTTTGCAGTTCGAATGGGAAGTTCTGCCACACCCAGCGTACTCACCAGGCGTGGAGCCTCCTGATTACCACCTGTTGAGATCGGTGTAGCATGGCTTTACTGACATGCGGGCCCGCAAAGTTGACGAAGTGCGACTAGGTGAGTAGGTCAGTAGGTGGATCGCTACCAAATCAGTATCGTTCTCTCGACACGGTTTCGACAAGTTGCCAGAAAGCCGGGAAAAAGTTGTAGAAAACCATGACAAATATTTTAATTTTCTCAATAAATGCCCTTTTTAAGTGAAAAAAGTACCAACTTCCCAATATGATGAAAATTTGAGCGATACAGATCTATTCCGTGAAACTCACCCCATATAAGACTTCTCCTGACTAAGCTCTTTAGAAAACGGTTTAATTTTTAATATCGTATGATGAAGATTGATCAACAGTGATATTTTTGGGTAAAAATGATCAGTACGAAATTTTGATTACGAAGGTACATTATTTAGACAAGAGCATATATAGAGGTAATCCTGATAAGCAAACTCTTTTATTGCAGGAAAATTCTAATTTCCATTTTCTTGAAAGGTTTGCAAAATTTGGATCGCGTCATGTGATGTCTCGGGCATCCTCCAATATGCGAGCTTTCATAAAAAGCTTATATTTGCATGAAAATAATACCCAATTATTGGTATATTATTACTAAAACGAGTGAACACCTTAACTAGGCGAAGTGATATCGAGTAACTAAGGATCGACTTTGCTTCACTGTAATGTTTCTACTTGCTTTTATCTTACAAAAAAATGCAACAAGAAAAAACATATCAACCCCAAGTGCTAGAACATAAACCCCAATATCACCAATACTAAAATAATAACCCTAACAACAAATAAAACACCCTCTACATCGACAACAACAGTAGAATAAATTCAGCTAACAACAAATATGGCGATTAAAATAGTTCAATAACTATCATAATTGCAGGAACGAGTGCAGGAATAAGAAAACGAATCAAGTCAACAGTATTAATAACAATAATAATAACTAACACGAGACAAAATTATATTTAGTTACGGCCGAATATTCCAACTCACTACCGTTATTTTAAAATAAATCTTGAAGAAAATGAAGGAAGAAATTAATGCTTCATTACATCGAGTAGTCGCGGCCGATTTTGTATGTCTTACAAGCCCAGGATCGTGCAACTTGTTATTGTTGCAGTTTCTGACTAATGAAAGAAAAGCGAGTTCTATTCGCACCACTAAAGAGTGGAGTTATGCAGCACCCAGAAAGAAGCTTTACAGACGATTATAACCAACGTTTCCGTCCGCCAGTCTTTTTTGTAATTTCTGTAGCAAAAGTTCCGTCGTTCGCAGGTTGGCAATGAAAATGGTTCAAATGGACCAAAGGACACGCCTACATCGTAGCATAAACTACCAAGTTTAGGTATATTTGATTCTGTTTGCGTGAAAAATCGGTATTCGAGTTTCGTAAGGTGATACAAAATTTATCTATCAAATTATACATGTTTATTGGTGGTCATTATTCGTCGGAATTTTTCCATAATTCGGGTCCAGTTTTCAGAAATGGTGGTGGTGTTTTAATTGCCATTTCTTCGGCAGTTCCCTCCTATTCACTTGAAATTCCAACTATTCCCGACGTTGAATTAAATGCCGTTCAAGTGAAATTTCCTAATAAACACTTATATGTGACCTGCTCCTATATTCTCCCAAATTCGGATATCTTTGTATATATGAAGCAGGCCGCCCTCATTTGTGAAGTGGCCAAGCAATCTTAAC